CTAAAAGTTTGACTTCCAAACATTCAAATTTCACTTGTAATATATCAATGGAATGATATTAAAATAAAGAAAAAAATGTAAAATTAATTAGGCGAAGTGGAGTTTTTATGCGAAAGTTATGAGTATTTAAAATTAACTACATACACAGTTGTTTAAATGGTTTCTAAAGAATTCCTTTTATATAGTTTTAATGTAGTAATATTTTAGGAAAATATCCCTTTTGTGTTATTATCTTCGATGAAAAGTTTTTATACTAGAGTTTTAATTTTCCATTACATATAGGTTTGTGAATGATTGAACTTGCTTTAAACAAAGGGTGCTTGTTGTGTGCTCATGTATATACAGATTGTTAATTGTATTTGTTGGTTATCAACAATGTATAAACGAAACCTTTTAGTTGAATTTTGACACTACTCGAATGGTGCCTCTTGTCATGAAGCGTTGGCCGATAGAATCCTGGTAGTCTTATCTACCTTACCGAATTATTTATCAGAAATTAGTATCTGTGTAAGCTGATAGATGGAAAATGTTTACGCCTAAGTCTACTGAGGGGATATTCATGGTAATAACCATGAGCCACAAAAAGATAACAATTTTAGCTGAGAACTCAATTGATAGTTTGGAACCTAGTTATGAGTATAGCATGGATTTACTAAAGAGTTTAATGATTATCTTAGAGTAGTGTGCTTAGAATCATACATTGCATTATATTGTATAAATGCATGAAAGTACATTTATAGTTTAAGAAAGCTTTTATATGGAATAAATGTTACAAATTATTTGAATTACACAAATCTTTTGAAAGGACATTTCATTGAATCCAGATTCTTCTGAAAACAAAATTGTTTAATAGTGAAACCTTTTTTTTCAAACCCCTATGTACCTCACAAAATGAATGACTTACATATTTCTTCTTATGTGAAGTGTATTCCATGTCAAAAAAGGATACATCATATGCCTTAGTTTCCTATGCTAGATTTTAATGAAGATTATAAGACTTAAAATCTTGAGAATTATTATGAGAAAATAATAAGTCACCCATTATGTTTTGTATTACGACTAATGATACTTGCATAACTCCTCTATGGTTTGATATTGGTTTTCAACCTTGTATTGACAGAATTTCCATAATTTTTCATTGGGAAGAATTTTTTGTTTAAGCAAAAACCACATGATTGCTATGGATGTCTTATTTTATGATTTAAAAATGTATAAAAATTATTGTGTTACATTTCATGCACTAGTAAGATCTAATCCAATATTCATGGTTCCAATATGGACAATTTAACATGGTTCAGATAAGACATAAGCATGAAGCAAGGATGTAAATAAACATCAAAGCTATAAATCTAGTGTCATGAGTCCCATAAAATATGTTAGAATTGAACTTGTAATGAAAATGATATTTTTTACACACAAATTAAGCTTATTCATGTGTATAATTAACAAATCATGATAATAAGCTATAATGCAGATCTTAGACTTTATTGAATTACCTTCTTCACAAATACAAGGTTGATTAATATATAATGAAATAAATATCAAAATGCTTAACTGAAATTTATTTTTATCGATGTCAACCAAATTCTTAAAGAAATCGTCACTCCATATTTGCTGGCAAACAAGAGAAGGGTGTTAAATTTACTGAATGGTATCATATATTAAGGGACATATTCAAGCATGAAAACAAGTTTCACATACTTGAAAAACCATTTCTTTTACTACCACTGACAGAGTATAATATTCTATTTATAAAACTTATATTCAAATATATGAAGAGCAACAAGAAGTTCTAATCATTTTTCTTTCTAGCATGGCTCCTAACCACCAAAAGGATATGAAACCTTACAAACCGTTTGGAATTATCAAATAGATGTATTAAATGATTCAAGAGGAACATGAACAAGAGCATTAAAAATAGTAGGAAAATTCAGACTTAGCTTCACCTATTGTAGTTTGATGCAAATAATCCTTTCACCTAGACCTATTTTAGTATCTAGACATACGATTAAGATATTAGTAAAACAATATGTTTAAAGGGAAAAAAATTTGTTTCTCTTCAACTTAGAAAGAAGAATTAAATCTTTGACAATGATGTTGGCTATTAACAATATAGCTAAAATGGCTATTGGATGAAGAAATGTTTGTTTCACCTTGTTGAGTTGAAAGAAAGAAATGTTGGGGTGTCTAATATGTTATATGTATATTAATTGCTCCATGTGAATGAACTATTGCCTTTTTATATACTTTATGTGTATTCAATAGGGGTTTTAGAAAACATTTTTATAACAATGTTGAAGGATTCAGAAGATGTAGTAAACAAATAGACTTATTCTTTAGCAAGGAAACACATATAATTAATAATACATATTAATTATATGGAAAATTGTGAGTTGATGTTCATCAATATTGTAGATATGGAAAATCATATAATTAATGATACATATTACTATTTGGTTTCACCATAATGCACAATCCAAAATAGGCACAAAAAAAAAAAAAAAAAAAAAAAAAAAAAAAAAAAAACTAAAGATGTGGATTAGCTTGTTATATATCAACAGTTTCTTGGTTTAATTAGAAACCAATATATATATATATATATATATATATATATATTTGAAATTAGGCATATTTGAATCATATCTAGATAATTTTTGTAAATAGTTAATAGATAATCATGTCATTATTTAAAGTTAATTGTTCGGCGATTATATAAGATTAGTGATAATCTTTTTAAGACTTCCTTTAGGAAACCCTCTCTATTCTTCCCACATATAAACTCTATATTATCCCTCCCTCTCACCTTTATTTGAAATCTATCAACCCTAGCTAGGGTTTTATATTTGTTGGTGATCAAGAAATTAACACATTGATCTCCTTTCTTATTAGTCGATATTATCAAGGAAATTGAAAGCAGATTGTCAAGCTATTGATATAGACGGCTAAAATAGGGTGTAAAATGAAAGAGTTATTCTATTTTGTATTGTCGAGAATATCTAAGAAAAGTTTAAAAATTTTAATATCATATTGTACTTTTCGTTGCAATTAATTAGTTAAGATATGTCCTTGTTTCCATAATGACGTTTTGATTATACTATGCTTATGTTTATATAATTATTAGGTATGAGATCCATGTACTACACGGGTTTATTAAAAATAAAAATTTAATATCAATATTTAAACTTTAAATTTAAAATCAATATTTAATATCAATATCAATTTTAGAGCTCTCATTAATTATGGCATTTATTACATTATAAATATATTAATTCTTTTTCAAGGAAGCATTTATTTCTCTTAATATTGTAACCGAAATAAGTTGTTATACGTGAACAAATCAGAAAATTACATGTGGAAATAAGTAAATTTTAAAAATCTATTAAAATGTCATATATCCAAATCAATGAAGAAATGACATGTGGTAGAAAATGAGTTTTATTTATTAGTATAGATGTATTGAAATCCATCATGAATTACAATCAAAATCAATCAATGCTTATTGACCATCACTTTTATTTCATTAACATAGTCACAAACAATTTCATGCTCTAAAATAAAATTCATTTGCGTAGAAACATACAAAGCATTTACAATTTAAAACATTAAACATAGTTTATATGACACATACTCTTTTCATAATAATCTAAAACTAATATGTTTTCTAGTATTATGGTAATTTATAAGAATATAGTTTTTCCCATCAATAATTAATCATTTTCTACTTTGACTAATAGCATTGTGGAATTTTCAGAGAAGTTGACAACAATCCATATTTGGAATGTAATATCCATTTTTTGTTGTTTGAGTTTTTTTGGCTTCAGTAAAACTTTTTTTTATTCCTTTTTTACTTACATGACGATATTGTCCTGGTGTGTAATAATTTCTAGCCATTTTTTGAAGTCCTCCTATTTAAATTTTCCATACTTCTCAATAATAGCCTTCATCCAGATAGACGCCAAAAGAGGTAACTGTCTAGCATGATGAAAGTGCTCATATTCTTGACAAATTTCGGGATGCAGGTTAGTCATCAAAGAAAAAGTAATAATATTTGTAATGTGTTGGGATATTAATCCTAATGATCGATTAGATTCAAACTAATTTAAATAAGAACACAACGATGATTCAAAATATGTTGAATGATTCAAAAGTCACACCTCAGAAAAAGTCGATGAAGAATTGTTGTTGTAGATGCGTGATTAGGGTTACAAGAAATAATATCAGAGTTACCAAAATACGATGCATGCATGCACCTTAAATACTCTAACCCTAGTAAATAAATACGGGAGGAAAGACCCAACCCATTTACAATATAACAAACAAAATGGCCCATTGACACCAGGGGTGGCAAATCGGGCCATCATGTCGTGTTTTTGTCTAATACGACACGACACGACACGATACGATCTCATGTTTTTTTAACTAACACGAAAACGAACCGATTAAAAAACGACAAACACGACACGACACGACGAAGATAACATGAAATAAAAATAATGTATTTAATTAATATTTATTCGTACATAACACGAAAAACACGACAAAAAATGTTAGATCGTGCCAAATTTGTGTCAAATTTTGAACACGACACGACACAACATCGTGTTTTTACACTTGATACGAACACGAATTCGAATTTCAATTTCGTTTCGTGTCGTGTATTTTTGTCGCGTCGTGTCATCAATTGTCACCCCTAATTGACGCAACATAATAATAGTAACAATCTCCCCCTTTGCATCAATAGAGCGAGTGTCCATCAGGGCAAGATTCTCTTTTTCACTTCAAATACTTTTGGAATAACCCTTAAGAGTGCCTTGTGAACCTAGACATACCGCCAAATAATGTTCGAGAAGCACTTTTTCACCTTTGTTGTTGGCATTGCATTTTTTGACCAGATCCATGATAAATTCAAGACAGGTAGTATACAAATGTTTTTCCAGGATAAAGAAACATGTTTTACAAAAATCAGCTTCATTTCGTTCCTTAGCTTGAAATACCGCATGCTAACTTTCTTTGCAAAATTTTCTGAGCTTTAACTTCTCAAACCCTTCTGGAGCTTCTTTAGGAACAGCAGAAGGCTTCCTTCGTAACATGGTAGCAATTTCCACGTCCATATTACCCATCTCTTGAATATACGAAATGATCATGAGTTTGAGGTAAAGGATAACAGGCTCATACTTCTACTCATATGTTAACAACAAGTTGTAGAGCATGATCCAATCATATGGGTTGATACACAGCAGGTCTGCGAGAGTGAATTCATGAACTTCGCTCGCAGAACCTCTAAAAACTTGGAATTTTGCATTTGGGAAACTTTCAGTCTCAATTGGTCCAGTGACCTTCACTGCCGTCATCTTGCTTACACTCCATGTCTCATACTGTGGCCTTATGTGTTTGAGATAAAATGAGAAGAGTAATTGATCAATGTCATTTTCGGTAGAGGGTACATTCGCAATTTTGACAAGAGAGCAAAACTTGAATGCCTTCGGAGTTATTGGAAGATCCAGTTATGAGTCTTGAGTATTCTTAATTTTGAACGACACAACCGATTCTAACCAATATTGATTTAGAGAGTCAATAACTTCACTCTGAATTCGTTGCAGTGTCCACACAGGAAACAAGAGTTTTCAGCTTTCAAGTGTGACCTGAGCTTCTCTTTCTGCCTTCTCCATGGCTTCATCCTTTGGAACGATTCTCTGATTTTCATCTAACTCAGCTTCACGAGCCTTTCGCCTTTTGAGTTCTTTTTCATCTAGCTCTTCTTCTTTACTATTATCAATGATTGGCTCTTCAGAGAAAAACTTTTCTTTGCCTTTAGGCTAAGATTCTCTTTTAATAGTTGGCTTGACTGAAGTAGTTGCCTTGGCTAATGACTTCTTTGGTAGATCTCCCCCTTGTTTCGGAATACTAGAGGATTCCTAAACACCCTCCAAGAGGTGAAGCATTGTGAACACAAGCCTTAGCTTTTCGGCAAGATGTTTTCTAAAAGAAATGGTGATCATTGAGTCCCTAGTCTCATTGATATTTGAAAGTAGGCCAGTAATATCGGTGAGACAGCTTTTCATTATTGCCCTCTCAGTTACCAAATCCTAGACTTATTTCTCAGCCTGTTCTAGCCTGACAGTTAAAACTTTAACTCTTTCAGTCTTGATAGCTAAAAAGTCTATTATTTTACTTTCCATTGCAAGGTCTTCTTGAAGCTTGGAATTTTGAGAAGAAATGGAGGCTTTGAACTCTTCATGATCAAAAGTGATGCCAGTCCGAACTTCTTGAAGTTTTGCCCTTTCCGCTTTAAGAGTGGAACCAAGAATAGCAATGGCTTCATTAGATTTCGTTTGTTGGGTTATGAGCATTCTAACACTCCTAAGTGTACATGCAACCCTAAATACCTTGGATCTATGTTTTCTCAATTATACATGCAAATATGAACATCCAAGGTATTATCCTAATCTAGCATACAAAACTATCAATATAACAAGATAGAATACATACCTCTTTGATGTAGAATGTCTTCATGAAGCTTGAGTGCCTAGTTCCCCAAGTGTGACACCTCAAATGGTTCACACAACACCAAATAAACTTGGAATAACTTGATAGAATTCTACACTTCATGAAAATCGGCTAGCCTTCTCTAGAATAATACTAGTGCCGATTTTGTCAAGAATAATATCTTTATATAGTGTTACAATTAGGGCAAACCCTAATTGTCATGACTTTCCATTTCCTTGGATCCATGGGTTCAAATACACCATGGAGCATCCATGGACCATCCTATGGGTTTTAGCCCAACTTGATTATCCATGGAGTATTAGCCCACTATACAAGTATGGATGATTTGTACAATCAACCCATATATTTAATTAGTCTTCTTTTGATCACTTAATTAATCCTAGATTAATTCTTGATCAATACTAATTAAATAATCTTATTATTCTTATTATTAATATACTAGAACTTATAATATATTAATAACCATAAGTGTCTTATTTCTCTCATTATAGTCTATCTAAGTGCATGATGCCATGCAACCCAAATGGACCATGCCGGGTCGGGTCAAGTCTTACCAATTATAGTTATGGACTTAGACATTAATCCAACAGTCTCCCACTTGGATAAGTCTAAAACTATTATTGCGTATAACTTCAGGAACCAACTGGCAATCGTAGCTCTCAAAAGCTTCTGTCGAACTCTGACCTTGTCAATAAATGCTGACCTTTGTCAATGACTTGTCCATTAGATAAGGGATCATATATTCCTCCATTCTAGATATCATATGGACTGAGACATGGATTATAATCATTCTATCTGTCCATTTGTTGTTTCCCGATTTCCGATTTATGACGACTGACTAATTGAACAAACCAAATCAGTCCTGGCCCGGCCGAGCACTTCCATTTGTCATCATCAAATCATTGAGGGGCCCACAGATATCACTTTTATCCCGAAGGTAAAAGGAATGGATAAACTTCGACTCATATGGCTTGTTCTACTACTTGTTGAATCATACACAAAGGCACGTTTTATAGCACCGAGTTACCAAATGCGGTTTCGTGCAATCAATGTACAACCAACTCATAGTAATAACTCATATCTCTAGGTTTGAAGAATATAAGATATTATCGTCTCATGATCACTCATGATAAAATCCATGAAGTGATTCCAATGAGCGCGGGTTGAATCCAATACTCAGAACTTATGAGCACTCATGAGTGTTGTAGCCATTTGTCCAACACCTTAGACCTCTACAAGCCATCCCATGACAGTCTTAATTCATATCTACTTCCAACATATGACTGACTGTGGATGGTTTGAATAACTTAGTTATTCCGGAAGAATAACCTAGTTTATCCGGGAAGTCAAAACATGCAAAGTGAAACACAATAATAATTGAATCAAATATGGTATCAAAACCTATGAACATAAATAAAACACCTTTTATTTATCACCATATGATTACACATTATTCATTGTATACTGTTTCAGCTATCAATTTTATTCTTGAATTTAAAACAATAGTTGTCCCATGCTCCAAGCATGTACACTATGTTTTCTAAACACTAGTCATGCCATACACCAAGTATGCATACTATGTTTGTCTATGATCTTTACTTTGTGAACTAGATCAATTGAACATAACTTCAATGATTCTCTTTTCAGACTCCCAAATCCTTACTGTAAATACAAGAATTCCAAATTCATGTTATTTACTAAAATCTGTTAGATTCTAAACTTATATGCATTGATCTTCTTGTAACGATTATGCACAAATTCACAAAGACTTGGCAACAATCATTACAAAGCATTCCAAAGGAGATCAACTCCTTGGAAACATCCTTCTTGCATTAAGTTTCCTTAATCTTACACAGATTGAAATTTCTGACTTTGAAACATTTCCAGATTCATTTTGACTATCACTTCTGAACAAGAGTTGCCTCCTTACAGATTATGTCAATATGGTCCTTCCAGAATTATCACTATACTTCCAACTGTCCTTGAGCAACCAATCTTTGGTAAAACTTAGATTGTCCTCGACAATTGTTTAATCCTTTTAGTCATATCCAGTTCTAAACCTTTTCCCTTCTTAATGCCCCAGGCATTTGGAAACTTTTAGAAAGGATGAATATAGCACATGTAATCGGTCCTATATCCGAAGCATATGGGACACGATTCATGATGTCTCACAGAAAGACTAAACCGGTCTTTTGCTATAACATTTCCATTTCTATTTGCCAAGTTCTCATAATTCAGATTATGAAAAGGGATGCCGTAATCATAATCGAATTTAAGAACGCAAATAATGGACCCATATACAGAATTTCCTTATGTTGAGCCATTCCAACATGAAATTCATATATATCCTTGACTAAATGATTAAAACCTCACGATCTAAGCTTATAGATTTGAGATGAAGTATAATTTCCTCTCCCTTAATTATAGCAAAACAACCTTTTTCCCAATTGAAACCTTTTGTTTTCTATAATTAACATTGCTAACTTGCAATCTTTATCATAATTATCATGCTCCCACTAACATGATGATTATTAGCATAACACTTATGCTCCCACTAGCTTTGACATGTACTCAGAAATCAGCTGGACTTCTAGAAATCAATACTTTATTGACTTTCTTACCAAAGTTCAGATTTCTGATACTAGATTTCCTTGATAAGACCTTATCAATATCATACACCTCTCTTAGATAGCTCACATGTGTGTCTAAACAATTATGAAGAGGGATGTCGTAATCATAATGGTTAGACCTTTTTGCCACTTCTCACAAGTCCAGGTTAGTGTGCCGGTAAACCACACACGCTCCACTAACGACTTTGAGAATGCAAACATCACCATTGCTATCTAGCTAAAATCTACTTAGTGAAAGTGTTTCCTCACCATCATTTTCATGAATCAGAGAGAAACCTTATGACACTTAGATTTAATGGTGTATGTGTTCTTATCCATGTGAATTGTCAAAACCATAGTCACAAGACAAGGGTAATGACAAATCCAAACTCATATGGACTGAACTCAATCTTAACTTCTTGCCACCTGGCAGCTCAAGGGCCTGCCATTGCTTCCAAGTTGTTGTGCAACACATTGAGAACTCTAAGAACTCATATGCAAAGCCAACTTTAACTGGAATGGGCACAGAATATGTCAACACGATAGGTTATAAACCTCGAGTCGTGTGCTAGTGAAGAACCTTAGGTTCTATTCTTGATTAGTTCTTGAGACTTTCAAGACCTTTAGGACTCCCACTGTCCTCTTGACCTATAAGACTTCCTTGTCAAACATCCAAGAGATAGTGTGGATTCTAACCAAGACAAACACTTCACACAGTTGGCCTAAGTTGGTCTTTGTTTTATCCAAAACATCACAACTTACCAACTTCAAATGAACAAGAGTAGGACACTTTTACTCTTACATTTGACACGTGTTTTAAACCTTCTTAAAGACATGTCACTCAGATTACAATCTTGGAGTATGACTCTAAGACTTGTATTGGATCGAAGTATGACTCATCTTCTTGATTTAACCATTTCAACAATTCAAGATCCCTTCTTCTTAGTCATAAGAATGCACTAAGATTTTCCTTAGAGAACTAATTTTGATATGGTTTCTTAATCATTAAGATGATCACAAAGCTGATACTAAAGTACTCTCCCATCTTTTCAGATTTGAGAAACTTTTATCCTTCTGCCTAATTGGATTCTTCTTATTCGCTCTGCCATGCATTGAAACCTTTTCCAATGTCTCAGAGTTACACTTAAGCTTGTAAGTATAATCATATTTACTGAGCTTTAGTAAACTATGACGAATAGCCTTATATCTTTTGTGGTGGACTTAATCAGTGCACATGACTATGTACTCGATCCCTTAGTCCATTACTTGACTCACACATCCATGTGAACAAGTAATTAGTCTTAATTTTTCCAATACTTGAAAGTTCTCATTCATCATGCTATACAACTTGCATGATTCCAAGTCCCGGTCCAATTGAGACTTTGGATGATGAGAATCTTTCCTTATTTGGTAAATTTAGACATTACCACAAATGAAAGAATCAATTTCATATTTCCACTCTTGCTATTAATGGAATCATATAAGCAACAATTTTTCCTCAAATTCCATTGTAAGGATATTTTAAAATAAATAAAATCAAAAATTTTCTGTTATTTTAAAAACTATGCGGAAAAACTTATCCTTACAATCCATATGAAAACTTGTTGTTATCTATTCCTAAGCAATACCTCATAACTCCTAAGAAGTAGCTCAAGAATCCGATCTTCAGACTACGCGATAGAAATCCATCTATGCGATCAGATTCAGCATATTCTTTCTTTAAGTTCCTTCACTTTTTCTTTGATTCTTAAAACATCAACATGTGACCCAGTCACATCATGTAATAAGAATCTCAGAATAGAAACTTAGTAGAGTTAGATAGTGGACTTTACGTGAAGTAGAGTCAAACTTATTGACTTTAACATCCTTAGGTAAATTTGATAGTCTTCGCAACTAATAAACCCTTCCTTTGGCAATATAAACATATGGACCCTTTGATAATGGTACACAGGACTATTACAGACTTAGCCTTTTCTCTTTACCATTTGGTCAACCTGGTTGACTATGGCCGATCCCTTTCCATTGGGAAGAGAATGCTTTTCTGGATTTCCTGTGTCACTATTGTCAATGTCCATCAAGTTTTAGGAAGTTGATCTTAGCAGGTAGATAAGATCATTAAGGGTCTTGTCATAGTCTGTTTCATAGGTGTTCCAAAAAGAACTCACTATGTGACTTAGAAAGTAGTTGAACCACCAACTTTCTCAAGACTTTGACACCCAACTCTCCCGGTGTGTCAATATGTGACTACATCTCCAAGATGTGATCACACCTAGACCTTGCCTTGCCAATAGGGCTTGAGTGACCTTAAAATTTTCAGGAACTTGTGGGTTAGGGAGAATAATTGGAGGAGGTGAAAGAAGTATGATTTCCATGGGACATCATCTTCATTTAGGAAAGCTTGTTTCCCAGAGATTTGGGAAGATCATAAATGTCTAAACCAGACATCTTTTGAAGATATTCAAGATAGTTGATCTTAAAGTCCTTAATATGACACCCAATATGAAATATTAAGGCTAGGACCCAACAAACTATTTTATAACTTAGAAGAGGTATGTCGTAATCCAAGCTATAAAACAATTTTAAGGTAGGTGAATGACGATTCACCAATTTCCACCAAGATAAATGAAATGTATTATTATTGTTTTAATTGGTTTTGAAACTCCTAGATCTTTTGAGATTCATTGAACTGTTCAATGGCATGTTTCAATCTCGAGTGTGCCCTTCAGGTTTTGTGACTGGGATGCCGAGGATCACAAAACAAGGTGTGAAGTAACCATGCAAATTACTTGGTACCCTTAATAAATTACCCCTCAATCGATGTGCCGGTTAACCACACACGCTCCATCGATACTATGATAAACATTAAGTTACCCTTTGCCTACCTTGTTAAATACGAGTTAGTGTGCCGGTTAACCACACACGCTCCACTAACCGACTTAAACAAAGTGCAAAGTGTAATTTCATGGATTAGCACCTTATTCACATTTTCCTAAGTAACTAATATTGGGAATTATTAAGAGTTTAGTTACTTAGTATTTATCATTAATACTTTTAATGAAGGGAGAATTATAGTCCTGTCAAACCCGTTTGGCTAACGACCCTCTACCAGTCAAGCAAGCGGTGGGTGAGAGTGGACACCCATTAAGTTGCCATTTTATAAGCAACAACCTTATACCCACCTTATAGACCGGCTTCGTGAATGAGGCGTACTAGCGGTAAGACCGACTTTACTCTTATACATATATATATTATTAACTTATAATATTATAAAGTATAAGGGTTGAATTTTAACTTTTAAAATTCTAAGGGCTAACTTGGAATTAAAGTATTCATATGAGAAAACTTTACAAATTCCAAAACTTGAGGGCAAGTTTTGAAACTATTCAAAACTAATTAATTCCATAACTTATGTGTTTAAAGTAGTTTTAATCCAAAAACTCTTCAAGTTCCATAACTTATGGAAGACTTTAAACTAATAAAAGAATTAACTTTTCTTTATTTTTATAACTTATGGAATTAATTAAGGTTACATTATTTTTTTTAATTTATTTAATGAAGAGACTCTTGGTCCTCCATAACTTGAGGACAAATTATGGAGTCATAACTCTAATTAATTAGAACTAGACTCTTCATTTTTTGGTAACCTTTGCTAATTTTATGAGTTTTATGAGTCTTTAATGTGACTCTTCATGTAACTTGAGGACAAGTTACACAAACACATTTTATACTCAACTCTTAGATTAAAATGGATTGAAAACAACTATTTCAATTAACTTTTCTATTAATCTAAACAACTCATAAGAACAAGATAATTCAAATCAAACTTTTTCATGTAATTAGTCTAACCTTTAAGCTAATACAAACCATGAATCTATTGACAATTATCTTTGAAAATGGATTAGCATGAACATTACCACATTAAAAAACAAGTTTATAAGTTCAAAAACAACTTAGGGTAATGTTCCTAGTCTATTTCTAGCCAAAAACCTCGAAAATATGTTGTCTGGGGTCCAACTCGTCGAGTGCATGAACAAAACTCGGCGAGTTGGATGCATTTTGCCTTCGACTCGTCGAGTCCCTTCATGGACTCGGCGAGTCTTTTGGGCTGACAGCATCAAAACTCAATTTTTCAGCTTCTATTGCAGGTATAACAAGAAAACAAGCCTAGGCTCTGATACCACTGTTGGATTATGAGCATTCTAACACTCCTAAGTGTACATGCAACCCTAAATACCTTGGATCTATGTTTTTTCAATTATACATGCAAATATGAACATCCAACGTATTATCCTAATCTAGCATACAAAACTATCAATATAACAAGATAGAATACATACCTCTTTGATGTAGAATGTCTTCATGAAGCTTGAGTGCCTAGTGCCCCAAGTGTGATACCTCAAATGGTTCACACAACACCAAATACACTTGGAATAACTTGAGAGAATTCTACACTTCATGAAAATCGGCTAGCCCTCTCTAGAATAATACTAGTGCCGATTTTGTCAAGAATAATATCTTTATATAGTGTTACAATTAGGGCAAACCCTAATTGTCATGACTTTCCATTTCCTTGGATCCATGGGTTCAAATACACCATGGAGCATCCATGGACCATCCTATGGGTTTTAGCCCAACTTGATTATCCATGGAGCATTAGCCCACTATACAAGTATGGATGATTTGTACAATCAACCCATATATTTAATTAGTCTTCTTTTGATCACTTAATTAATCCTAGATTAATTCTTGATCAATACTAATTAAATAAATCTTATTATTCTTATTATTAATATACTAGAACTTATAATATATTAATAACCATAAGTGTCTTATTTCTCTCATTATAGATTATAGTCTATCCAAGTGCATGATGCCATGCAACCCAAATGGACCATGCCGGGTCGGGTCAAGTCTTACCAGTTTTAGTTATGGACTTAGACATTAATCCAACAGTATTAGACTCAAAGGATGTCTAGAAGTTGTTCATGAAAGTTGTAGCATCATAAATTAGTTTATTTACTTTTTCGGTTTTTTCATTGCAGACATTAGCAACGGCATTCACTGCCTTATTCATCCTTTCAAGATTTAAGGAGTGCTCTTTGGTGAGAGTCTCAAGGATAGACTTAACTTAAGCTTGGGAGTATTCATCAGTTGAGGAAGGCTTTGAAGCCTTAAGCAACGAGTCAAGCTTTTCATGGATGGCTTTAAGTTGCACCTTCATTACTAGAGCTTCATCATCACTCCCAGTCCTAATGGTGAATGGACAAAAAGTGAATCCTGCCATGTCGTTTTCACCATCCCCATAGATCATATTCGGATCGTCTTGGCGAAGAGGGGAAATAGGAGGTGAAATATTAGACGTTGTAAAACCTGAAGTGTCAGCCCCTGCATCATATGCATTGACCGAAACAGGAGGTTCTACAGACGTTGTCGGTGGAGTAATAGAATCAGAGAAGAGTGGAGTAGAATTATCCTTGGAGGATAATCAGCAAATTGGGAAATTGCTAATTCAAGATAATATTATTATATTAGTATTAAGGTTATCCAGGGTTTCCAAGTTGCACTATATAAGGACCCTAAAGCCTTGCATTTTTGGGTCACTCATTCTTCTAAGGAGATAGCCGAAATTCTACCATTTCCTCTCCTCTCTTTATAGTCTTCCTTCTTGCTAGCTTGGGTGTGAACCATTAGAGGCACGACAATTGTGGTGCTTGCTTCTAATAGATTTAAAAGTAAAGGATTATTATTATTTACTATAATAACAACAAGGTATGTAAACCTAAACCCTTTTATAATTTTCGAAATATATCTAGGGTGTCTAGGGTTTCTTATTTGATGTTCTTAGTTATAGGTTTAATAGCGAAATCATAGATCATTTAGGTTGCATGTGAACTTAAGGGCTTTAAGTTTTTTTTTTTTTACCTAAATCCTATCAGCTGGTTCATGAAAGAATTGTTCTGATACTTGTCATGGAGTTTCTCCCAAAGCCAAGCAGCAGACGTTTTATCCACAACATTCCTCGGTACTTCTTCTATTAAGCTTAATAGAATTACACTATGCACTTTTGCAAGAATTTCCTTCTTTAGCGTTTTAGCCATGTATTATGGTAACTTTGCTTCTCCTTCTAATATTGTGGTGCAACCTTGTTTAATGAGAATACCCCCCATCTTCACCTTCCACAAAGTTAAATCGTTCGGGTTATTCAACTTCTCTAATCGAACTTATTGGAAGACGTCTCTTTAATCAGTAGAACAAAATACAAGTCTAATACCATGTCCAAAATCAGATATCACTTATTAAGAATTTAAAGGCTATGATACCATTTGTCAATCTCGCATACCACTTGTTATGAAATAAACAAGAAAACATGTGGAATCATATAATCACATAGACATGATATTAAGCATAGTTCGGTCAATAGTGAGTGCTTACCCGTCGACAATTTATGTGAATCTTACAATTGAAGAAAGTTCATTTGAATGCAACCAAGTTTTTTTTTTTTTTTTTTTTTTTTTTTTTTTTTTTTTTTTTTTTTTTTAACGACAGATCTAAGTTACTCCTAAACTACACCTTAAATCCACCTATATTCACAACGGGGCTTGAACCATCAACCTCAGGGAAAGAGGACAATACCAGATACCGCTAAGTTATACGGGCTTTGGTGAATGCAACCAAGCTAATTCATAAGGCCAATCACTATCTGTTCTAAATAAAACGTATAAAATGCTTAAATATATTTATTTCCTTTTTTTTCATTTATGAACAATACTTGAATTGATTCGGAAACGTTTTTTTTCAAGTTGTACATTATCAAATATGATATGACGAGACTTTTTTATTAGAGTTTTAATGGATGGATATGATTTAGACACATGGGGTGTCAAAATGTGATGCACAAATCTTGAAAATTAATAAAAATAAAATAAAATAGAAGCATTACGCGCATGAGGCACGTACAGTACACAACAAAAGTTATTAAAGTTTCATCCCCACCCCACTTTCATATATTAAAAAACAAACAAATAATAACGTGTAAAATGTTGTCAAAATACATGACACCAAATCCATCTTATCCCTTTCTTTTGTTTATTAAAAATATTATAAAAAGTTAGACTCTTTTGATTCCTTTTAAATCATATGTTCTTGAGTATGTACATAACCAAACATGTAATTATGTTGATATTGACTTTTTAATTTAATTCTTAAAAAGAAGGATGAAATGAAAAGAATTTATTAGAAGAATTGTATAATAAGTCAAAATAGATTATTTTTTATTTAATTTTTGTTTTAAAGTTTTTCTAAATAAATAATATAATGGACATTATCACAAAAGTATAGTATAAACACAAGTAATTCTAGTATATTAATAATTAATAATAATATAAAATTATAAAATTATAATATATTAGTAATCTTTTTATTCATAAAACAATTTAATAATTTTGTTTAATTACTATCAACATTCAATTTCCCCAATCTATTTATTTAACTATTTTTTTAACAGGTAAATATAAGTATATAATTTACTCATAAACTAACATCTAATTTTACCTCTGTTCAACACGGGACTTGAACCTTCGACCTCAAAAAGAAAAACCCCCACCTGATACTGTTGGGATAGAAGCCCTTTGATTTTTTATTTTGAAAAATAACTCTTGAAGGTAACTAACTGTTGCGTTTTTTATTCTTTCATTTGGTCATTTTTTGTACTCAATATATCATCAAACTTGTTGTTTGTCTTCAGCATAACTCTTTTGACCTGCTTTTGACCTGTGATAGTCGGTCAAAAGGTTAAGGTAAACACAAACAACAAGTTCGATGGTATATTGAGTAGAAAAAAGAAAATGGACCAAATGAGAACAAACTCAACAGTTGGTTACCCTCCTGAGTCATTTTTCCCGAAAAGTAAAATGAAATTAAAGTTGCAAAATTATCAAAATTTGCAACCTTCTTTGGCCATAATGTATATGAAGAGCATTTCGGACGGGTAGATTCGTTAAAATATGGTCTATGTTATTTTTATTGTGGTTAGTTGTCACCTCTCTGTAAAAGGATATGATTGTATATGAGAGGTATATTTATCAGCATAAAAGTTTGCCTCAATGTATATTATCATAATGTGTCTGCAAAAGCTTAATGATATTGTGCATATTGATATTGTATCATCCCATGATTTCGATCTTAAAGTTAAGTAAACTCAAAAATCACAGCAAATGTGATTCCACTCGTTTGTAGACTTATCTAGAATTCATGATACGATAAATAATTTGATTGGAAATGTAAATGTAGTCATGAAATGCATCTGCTTAGTCAAGATTCCCCTGATAAATATTCAAGTGCATTACAAAGTTGTACATATATAAATAATGTTCTTTCGTGGGTTATGTTTTGAAAAAAAACAAGAATGAATCTCATAAAGTCATTAATATCAGCAGGAGATGACGTGGGATTTATTGTAATGAGTAAAAGAAAAATGAATCAAAAGGGTAACCAACTGTTGCATTTGTTCTCATTTGGTCCCTTTCCTTTTTTTTGTATTCAATATATAATCAAACTTCTTTTGTGTTCGCCATAACTCTTTGATCGGCTATCACATATCAAAAGTCGGTCAAAATGGTTATGGTGAACATAAACGACAAGTTCGATTGTATATTGAGTAAAAAGTTGAACCAAATGAAAACAAACGCAACAGTTAGTTACCTTCGATAGTCATTTTCCATTTTTATTTTTCTAGTTGAGGCATTCAAGATATAACATTTAATACACTCACCTTTTAAGTAAATAAACATAAACCCTCTCACTCTTCCATTTAAAAAATAGTAGTTTTAACACAATGTGCTTAAATCTCTTGTTATCATTCTTATTTTGGTCAAGATAAAGAAAGAGAGAAACTTGAAAGTACAAAAATACCCTTGTATTATATTGTATAAAGAAAAAGTGCGAAATTGAATGTCGGCCCATGAGAACGGTGGATAAAGAAATAGTTAAAAAGAAAAGGAGATACAGGAAACAGGAAAGGGTTAGTAGGTCAATGTATAAGACCAATAGACCTATTTTGGCTCCTTCCATTTCCATTTCTATTTTCCATGTGTACACAATAGAATCTAGAGTAAATTACAGTTTTGGTCCCTGTGGTTTGGTCAAATTCAAAAATTCAGTCCAATCTTTAAAAATTTAACAAGCATCCCTATGGTTTAAAGAAAATTACACTAAACATCCTTGATACACTTAAAAAAACCATTTTACCCTTACCTTTTATATATATATATATATATATATATATATAATTGTTTAATTTTTTAAAATTTTGCCGCATACACTTTTTTATTTATATTTCTTTAAAATTTTATTCAAATATATTTTTAATGTTTTTTTTATATTTTTTTTGACATATCATTTGAATAGTTTTTCTAGATTTTTTTTGTTTTTGATGTTTTGCTCGAATATATCTTTTAATGTTTTTTTATCGTTTGTTTTTTATATATTTGTAAAACATTTTATAAATTTTTTTGTATAAAAAATATAAAAAGGTTAGTTAACTGAGAATATGATTAACACATATTAGGTATATAATTATTTATTTTAATAGGGATATTGTATAGGCTAACTGAAATTCAAAACAAATATCAATGGCTATGAATTCAATCTTTTTTGTTTTATAATTTTTTTTTTTTTACATTTTGTTTCTAGTCGAAAATGCTAATTAGAATTTATATAACTCAAAAACATATGCTAATGTTTTCGAGTTCAATTTTTTTAGAAATTTTTGTTCGTTTTCGAGTTATATGGTTTTTCAATAAGCTTTTTTATAAACTGAAATCTTTTTTCGTAATTCAATGAGCTATCTATTAATTTTATTAAATATATAATTTTATACCTAAACTAAGTTAATATATTCACATTTAATGAACTTTTTTTACATTTTTTACAAAAACTATAAACAAAAAAACGTCAAAAAAATTTAAAATGTATTCAAACAACACACCAAAAAACTAAAAAAAATTATTCAAAAAAAACATTATAAAAACATAAACGAAAAAATATAAAATAACATTAAACAGTATATTCAAACAACACACCAAAAAAAATGTTTTTTACATTTTTATTGTTTATATTTTTATGATAATTTTTTTGAAATTTTTTTTAGTTCATTGGCATGTTGTTTAAATACATTTTAATTTTTTAACGTTTTATTTGTTTATACTTTTTGTAGGAAATGTAATAAAAAGTTTGTTAAATGTGAATATTATTAAATTAGATTAGGTATAAAATTATATTTTTAATAAAATTAATAGATATACTCACTGAAATACAAAAAAGTGTTTTAGATTATATAAAAGGTAATTTGAAAACCATATAACTCGAAAACGAATAAAATTAAAAAAAATGAACTCAAAAACATTGGCATATGTGTTTAAGTTATATGAATTCTGATTAGCATTTTCCATTTGTAACGAAATGTAAAAAAATTATAAAATAAAAAAATTGAATTCGAAGCCATTTACACTTGTTTTGAATTTCGATTAGGCTATACAATAACCTTATTAAAATAAATAATTATATATCTAATATGTGTTAATCATATTCTTATTTAAGTAACCTTTTTAGAAAGGATCGGAAATCCTTCTCAAGCTTTGAACTGTAAGGGATTACCAAGACCAAAGTGGGGGAGAACCCTTCAAGTATCCAGGGTCGGTAGCATGCTAAACTTAGAAAGGGTTAGTAATCTTCAAGTAGGAACGGAAAGCAGCCCGAATGGTTGTATGGGTGAAGAAGTACAGGAATTAGGAATTTGGGAAAACTTCCCAACATCGGGTTCCTGTATGTGGGGTTAATAGACGATGGTTTAGGGAAACCAAGTTAAGGATTTCCCGACAGGACACGAGTATAGCAGGGATGTAAGACTACAAGGTGGTTGTAGTATTTGATGACTAAGGGCGGGTTTTGGAAATCGGGTTGGAGGATCGCTAGCAGGACTCGGGTGAGTCAGGATGCCCTCGGAATAGTAGTTAGTTGTAGAGACAGCATGGAGAGTGTAGTAGGACTGCGAGATAGCCGCAGCTTTCCCCAGCAGCGAGTTAGTAAGGGAAGCGATGTA